TATTCACAGTCTTGTTGGATGGTATATCAAATACGAGTGAAATTTCATCCATATTTCCTATTTGACCGAGCTCAAAAGAAGTTTTCTCGTGTACATTTAAAGCAAACCTATGAAATGCTAGTATTTTTTCTTCATAATATGCTGGCATTTTCTGTGCAATAGTTGTTTTTACCTTGCGCATTGATAAGCCTTGCCTTTCATGAACCTATAGCACCAGCCCTCAGACCTTGAAAAGTTCTGATTCCCATGTTTTTCTGCAAATCCTTTGGCCTCATTGATTATCATTTTGATTGAAACACTTATCCCAGATTTCCTCTTATCTATCACCCACATTTTTACGGCATTTTCAAGTTCAGGCCAAGATGGAGCTGGACATTGAAGGTTATGTTTTTGTTTTTTAGCAGTCTTCAGTTGATCTTCCTGCAGTCGCCAAGTACGTATCATTTTTTCAGTAGGTGGTGGACCGAAATGCCTTTCTGCTGCTCTGTTTCCATGCACTTTGGCATAGTTTAACACTCCTAGTTTATACTGAATTGTATAGCTTAATCTCTTGTTTCCTGTAGTCATATTTTCCAGAGTATTTTTTTTAAACAAATAGTTTTAATCACCGATACCGACACGTTTATACAGAGTAGCACCAATACCAACACGTGTGTCGGCTGAGTCAGAGAAAGTCTATGTAAAGAAGGAAAGGCTCCATAGATGTAATGTGACTGTCAAACCTGTTCGAACTTCGACATCAGCTTCGAGCTTTGGCGCTTTTTGGTGACAGATATTTCACGCATGCGCAAAATAATTATGGCAGATGTAGAAAAAGTTATGTGTGTCTAGACCTTTAACCATGCTAAAAATAGCATTCAGTATTGAAAGTTAACCTGTGTCCTTCACGTATAAGATGCAGGTAACTTTTTTGAGACCAAATTTAGGGAAAAAAAAGTGTGTCTTATATGCCGCCAAATACAATATTATCTGCTTCATCGAACTCCTCCCCATCAACCATTACACCGATTGCATTTGACCGCATGATGAATTTTCTGATTTTATTTTGGTGTAAATGTTTAATATTTCTGTCTGCCATTTCTACAAAAACGAGTGTGAATTTTCTCTTTCATGACTTCCAGATCCTGCGATCAAGCATACAATCTGTTGCTTGAATCAGGTATGAGAACTACGACCCTATCAACTTCAAAATTTTTATTTGAAGAATGCAAATTATAAAAAGGCCTCTTTTCTAAAATATGTGACAGATATTATTGATAAACAAACAAACAAAAGAAAATACTTCTTTCATCACAGTTAATACATATAGATGAAATGCCGTTAGCTTTCAACTTCCCTGCAAACAGAACTGTTGATGAAACTGGTGCAAAAACTGTATCTGTGCTTACGATGGGGCATGAAAGAATGTCATTTACATGTGTGTTAGCTTGTGCCACAAACGGTTACAAGCTAAAGCCAATGATCATTTTAAAAGAAAAACTATTCCGAAGGGAGATTTTCCTAATGACGTAATTATTTGTGCAAATTAGAACGGATGGATGTGCTATTGTATCTTGTTTTGCTAGTAATGTCAGATTGTTCAGTGACCCTCTCCAACCATTCCTACAAATCTCAAATATCTAGGGATTGGTTTTAAATCGAAATTTAATCGAAACTAATTGCCAAAATTCTACTGCCTAAGATAAATTAGTTGTCGCCCTTCTAAGTATCCTCCGGCATTTGTGATAGCAGTTGTGTTGGTTTGTATGTTTGTTCTAACTTCTCCTGGAAAGCCCTTCATCTTCTTGGACAAACCAGTTTCTCTTTCTTCTCTGTTAAACTGCAGGTTTCTACCATAGGTTTTGTCCCGTAACACATCTAACACTTGTGGGGGTATCAAAACATCGTCGACTAAAGATTTTGCCATTGCGCAAATTATCTCTTGATGAATACATTTGCACCATTTCCATTAATTACTGCTAATGGTATTTTTACTAGCATTTACTTTCTCGAGGGTAAAAAAAAATCCCCTTCAAATTAATTGCAATTGGCAGATCTCTTCAATTGTATTTTCCTTTAGAACAATTATCTCACTACTTGAATCGATTAATACATTACTTATCCGACCTTTTACACTAACCTGCACTGTATCAAATTTCTATAATTCCCTTTCTATTGATTGTTTAGAAATTTCCTTTCCAAAACATCCTGCTTTGGCAATAATACAGTGGTACCTCGACATACGAGTTTAATTCGTTATGTAAACTTGCTTGTATGTCAAATTGCTCTATCTCAAAGTAATTTTCCCCATTGAAATTAATTGAAATGCCATTAATTCGTTCCAGCTCCCTAAGTACCACCTCAGTAGTTTTTGTTAAGTTTTTTTGAATAAGAAAAATGTATTTGCAAGGAGAAACATTTATTTATAAATAAAAAATACATATTCTATAAAAACATAATTAAAAGAAAAAAAGGAAGACAATGTTGTTGACATTGACAAACTGTAAACGCAGTTTTGTGATTTTTAGCTAGGAAACTTGGATAAGGTTTTAAAACCATCAGAGTTTAATTAGAAAACTGAAAGGTGTTCTTGTAGCTAGTTGTCTAATATAGTATTGGCCATTCTGACCCTTTTGTATAGAGTGCAAAATGCAAGAGGATTTGCAACATTGTTACTAAAACAATGAATAAAATGAAATTCAGCAGAAATGATGACATATTTAAAAAAAAATATTTGAAGAAAGAGGCCTATGTGACAATTGCTGGGAAAAGAAGTACTCTACATCTTTCTTAAAAGAAGCAAATATTTGCCTCTGTTGTTAGCATTTGTATAAAAAATTATATTTTTATTGAAAGGTACAAATAATAAATTTTTTCATATACATATTTTTTTTACCATTTGCATTTTAATGATTGCACCCAGGTATTAATTTGAAACTAAAGTTGTTATTTAAAAAATATCTTTTCTTTCACTATAGGCTTATGGTTAAAAAATTATATTTGCCCTGAGTTTTTTATAAAAGATCTCTCAATTTTTTAGGTTGGCATCTCTGCCTAGGAAAGTGAGATATATACTCAATAATTAATATAAGTTTGCTAACCCTTCCCCCCGGCATGTTACCTTTTAAAGTTGGAATTTCAACCCCCCCCTGAAAAAGGGGAGAGGAGGTAGGCAGTCTAATCAGGCCTAGAGGAGTACACAGCTACACTTTTGTAGAGATAGCATTACCTTACCGTTTTAATTCTGTGAGTGTGCCTGAAGCAGGCATACTGAAAGAATAGAGCTTTGAAAAGAGTGCTGAAACGAACATTGCTGGGAAGAGCATAAAAGAGCAAGAGATTTTGCCTATGATTAGAAAACATTAGATTCTGAATACCATAGTAGATTTAGCATTACCCAGGGTCTGCCACAGGAAGGCCTGCTACTCTACACCCTTCCTAAAAAGAGCTATTCTTGGTTATATAAAGATTACATGCGTATGAATGGAAAAAAAGTAACTTGAGTATATGATAGTTACATTTCACATTTACACTTTTATCTATTTTTTTTTCATAGGGGTACTTTTTGAAGAAAGTGACACCACCTTTGAAGAAGTACAATCCAATATTGCATGTTTTGCACATGTACCGGAATCTGTATCAGATTCACTACTATATAAAAGCAATTCGCGTAACACTTTCAGTGATTCAGAAAAGGTCAGCCCTCTCCAATCCATTTGGAAAATAATTAAAATAATAATAATAAAACACTAACTAATATTATATCTACGATTAGAAATTATAAACTATAACATAAAATTAAATAAACGTCTATGACTCAAAACTATCAAATGTAGCACTAGCAAAACTTCCTTGAATGAAAGCGAACTGCTATAGTGAAAAACCAAACAGCTAACTGATAAAATTACTCCTGAACTTCAGAAAATCACCCAACAATTTCTTAGTTGATAACCAAACCTCCCCTTCCAACCCAAAAAAAAGAGAAAAATGGGAAATGAAACATAGATGTGGACCCACATTTTCTATTGTCAATGGGCTGACTGTAGAGCTGCAGAGAAACAAAGATACAGTTGTTGGTCTTGTCCTAGTCTCTCAGTGATCCCACTCTGGGCACACCTGATGTTCTCCGTTTGATTTTAGGCAAGATTTCAAGGTAAAAATTTAAAACTAATATAGAATAAGGAAATTAGCATACAGCCAAGAAAATAACATAGAAATTTCTTTTCAAACAATTCTTTTTATATTTTAAAAAAGGAATCTGGAAGATTTCTTTGAAAAATGAGGGTGGCTAAAATGTATGGACTGGTTTGTGTTATGCTGCCATCTAGTATAAGTAAAGAAGGTTCAGAGTAACCTATAGTAACCTATAAATCCCTTTTCATTGAAATTTTCTGTGTGTACTGAAGGAAATTTTTAGGTGTGCCTGGACCTCAAAGAGTTAACTGCTGAAACAAGTGTTGCATTGATATTACAATTTTCTGCTTATATTGGAATTCAAATACACAGTAAATGTCAGAACTCTTCTTATATAAGTGTTCTGGCTATCATTACAGCTTCATCCCCAAACTAAGAAATACCAGAAGAAGGTTTCAGCCGAATTTGAGCTTTAGTTTTGATGTAATACACCAACTTTTTAATAAAATTCTCCTTTTGTTAGTAAAATAAATCGTAAGAATACAGTAAATCGTAAGAAAAATAGTATATAACAAAAATATGTAAATAAAGTTCTCTTTTTATCATTCAGAGTCTAAAGAGAGATTTTTTTATTAAATAGAATAAAAGATGAAAGGCAACTTAAATTTGCTTCTGGTCCTTCAATTGGCAGTTATTTAGGAAAAAGTAATAGATAATCCTCATTTTCAGCCAGTGTGAAATAAAAATAAATATTGCTTTAACAGTCTTCATTATATTTTAAAGATTCATATTTATGAAGTGTATATTTTATAGGATGATGTCATTAAAGGAAAATATATCCTATCATAGAATTGCACTTAATGGAAGTATTTTTTTTTTTTCCTTAGAAAAAAGAAAAACAGGTGATACCTTGATGAATGAACGGAGTTCCAGGTCACACCTTATATTTCGAATGGTATGGTTTGAATCATTCTATTTTTTAGTGAAAAGAATGTCAAAAATTTCAAGAAGTATTTTTATTTTAAATTCTGGCAGAAGTTTCTTTTGGTTTTCAGTAGACTTTTAAAATTAAATTTCAGAAATTTCTCTGAAGTCTTACTTTTTATATTTATCAAACTTTACTATCAGCAAGATTATCAATGTATGGAACCTAACTGTATTATTGATAACATTGCATGCTTATAAGTTGATGCCTTTTTTTGTTTATCCATTTTTTTGCATTTTTCCTTTAGAATTTCTAATTAATACAATTTTAATTATATATATATATAATTATTTTAAATTTTCATGAAAGGGTTCCACAATTTATTTGATAACATCTTAGTTGGAAAATGTTGTTCTTCAAATTAATTCAGGAAGAACTGCATCCAGTAATGAAATGTTCATGTTCTACAATATTTGATTATTCAGAGGCCCATATTCAGAGTAAAAAAGTCCATCAATTTAGGACAACACACTTTATTTAAACGAATAATGAATAAAACGTGCACACAGCAAATCATATTGACCATCACACATTATTTTGCATATCACCATCATCTGCGTACGCTCGAATGACAGATGTGTCGAGAGAAGAGGCAGCTGCGCCACCATAATTAATACACATGCGCATAAGAAAAAAAGTTCGCTCGCCTCTACCCATATATCTAAAAAAAGTTCGCTCACCCCTCCTGTGAGCAACATTTTTTCAATACAAAAATGAAATAGAAACAAGCAATATATAACATATTACATTAAGAAATTAAGGAAATTATTTTCAATGTATACATTAATTTTTTTTCACTGACCACATAGTAAGAAAATCTGCAATCATATTATTAATTTGTGAATATTCCAACTTAATGACATAGTCTTTTATTAAGTCTTTCATAAAATGGATATGTAAGTTCATGTGTTTTGATTTCATGGAAGATCTGGCACAGTTGATCCATTGGATAGCAGCTTGACTGTATGAATTCAAAACCACTGCACCATTTAAAAATTGTTTACATTTTAATTCTGGTAATACATTTACAGTCCAAATAATATCCTTACAAATTTCAGAAATAAAAATAATTCTGCTTCACAAGTAGACAGACTAACACTTCTTTGCTTACAACATTTCCTAGAAATCATTGAATCACCTAGTAAAATAGTACCACCAGAAAATGACTTACCATTTTCTGCATTTCCCCAGCTAGCATCAGCATATGTGTTTAAAACTCCAAAATCATTGCTATGGAAAAGTTTTTTTTTTTTTTTTTTAATTTATTTTTTGTACCTTTTAAAATACCTTAATACCCTTTTAGCCAACAGATAATGCCTTTTCTCTGGTACATGATTAAATTGTGACAAATGCGTTGTTACAAATGATATATCAACACATTCTATTCGCTAAATATAAAAATTCCCCAGTTAATTCCAGATACAATGTTGTATCAATCTTTTCATTTAAAAAGGACCTTTATCTGCCCCTTTAACGATTGGAGTTTTTACTGCTTTACAATTTTCTAAATTGTGTTTAGTCAATAAAGATTCAATATATTCTGTTTGAGACAAACATAAACCATTTTCAAGTTTTTCTATTTGCATTCCTAAAAATTTTGAATTAATATTTCCATGCAACTCAAATACATTTTTAATTTTAGAAACAGTATTTTCAAGCATTTCTTTATTATTACAGAATACAGCTAAATCATCATCAACATACAAACACAATATAAAAATGATTTTGGTATCATTGTAAATGAATATACACTTATCAGATGCTAATCGTACCAGTCCAAGTTTTTCTAATTTAGTTTTTATTTTCATATACCAATTTCTACCCGATTGAGGCAACCCATATTCTTTCATTTTCTTTTCAACCATTTTCTTTAATTTACATACTTTTCCTTCTCCAATCAGTTTTTCATAACCAGGGGGAGGAGTCATATACATCCTTGTTCAAGTCACTGTGCAAGTATGCTGTTTTTACATGATAAAATTTAACAAATTTAATTTAGTTGAGTGCAAGCAATAAACTAAAACATTCAATGTTAACTACTGGTGAATATGGTTCAGTATAATCCTTATTTTTTTGATTAAACCCAGCCGCTACTAATTGCATTTTATATTTTACTTCCCCAGAGTCTCCTTCCTTCAAAGTATACACCCACTTACTTTTTACTGATTTTGTTTTTTCAGGCCTCTCTACTATTTCCCACACTTCGTGTTTGTGTAGTGAATCTAATTCATTTTCCATTGCGGATTTCCAGTCATACCAATTAGCACTTTGTTTTGCTTCTGAAAAATCATTCGAAACATTACTGATTATACTTGACGCTAGTTGTTTTGATTTGAGCCTCTTGGAACGTCTTAATGGTATTTCATTTCCATATTTATTACTTTTTTCATAGCTATCAGATGTTTGGATTTTATTCCCGCTGTCATCGCCCCCACTACAGCAGCTCATGTCAGCGATTTTGAAATTCGATGAATCATCATATTCGCTTGTTTGAGTGTTTTCCCTAACAACCAATTCGAGGTGTGGTTTTCCACTTTTTGTTTTTTGATGTACTTCATTTTCCTTCCATGAAATTCCTTTTAATTTTTCAATATCCCAAGTTTCTTTGGTTTTATTTTTCCCCATATAATAGCTACCTTTTAAAGATTCGTTAAATTTAACTGATCGTTCTTCAAGTATTTTATTACTTGCTATATCATAAATACGATATCCTATTCTTTCTCTAGCATATCCTAATATTATCCCTCTTTTTCCTGGTATATCAAATTTGTTACGCGTTACTTTCGGAATGTGAAAGTATGCCACACATCCAAATTTTTTTAGATAGTTTAATTTGGATTTTTTTATCAGCCCAAATTTCTATCGAAATTTTTTCTTTTCCTTTCCGGGGCGTTAAATTTGATACTTGAGTACTAAAATTAATTGCTTCTGCGCAGAATTTTACCGGAAGCTCATTCTTATGTAGTAATGTCCTAGCTCTTTCCAAAAGAACTCTGTTTGCCCGTTCAGCTTTCCCATTACTTTCACTGTTATATGGAATTGTTTTTTCATGAAAAATACTAGAATTAGCAAGATAATTATCTAATTGTTCATTTACAAATTATAAACCATTGTCTGTTCTCAAACGTTAAATTCTTTTACCAGTTAAATTTTCATACTTAGCTTTAAATTTAGAAAATGCATCAATACTTTGTTTTTTCTTTTAAGAAAATAAGTAAAATACATTCCAGAAAAATCATCCAAGATCATAAAATATTCAGGCCCAACAATTGATTCAGTTTGAACAGGACCGCACAGATCCAAATGAATTAATTCTAAAATTTCTGAACTCTGACTAATGTCAATATTTGGATAACTTTTTCTAGTTATTTTTTCTAGTTTCACACTTAAAATCACTTACATCATTAATATCAATGTATTCTTTCATTTTAAGCATATATTTTGGATTTAAATGGCGCAGTCTACTATGCCAGAGTTCATAATTATTGCCAGTATAATCATTAGAAATGCAACATTCAAAATTATAATATTGTTCTAAATTAACTTCAATCCTACCATTATTCTTAAATGCTTTAAAAAGTAATTAATTACACCTACTAAAAATTAATGCAGAATTAATTACTTGATTCAATTTTACATCCTTTATCCATTAATGCATTGAGTGACAATAAGTTATTTCTTAAATCAGGGATATAACTAACATTACTAATAGTTAAATTAACAGAACTAGAATTCTTTGAAGTTATAGTTTTTGCTTTAACAGTACCAATACCTTCTGAAAATATTTTTTAATGTTTACCTGCCTGGTAAATCTCCCTCACCTCTAGTGTAATATTCTGAAACCAAGAGGGGTCTTTTGCCATAGGTCTAGTTGCACCACTATCCAGCAACCAAATTTTGTCAGATTCATCATTTTTTCCATGTGTAAGTTGAAGAGCAAAATCACTTTCTCTTTCATTAGAACGAATGATGAACGAGATGAAACATTCACACTTGTAGGTTCTGATTTCTTTCTTTCTTTCTTACCTTTGGATAACTCACTTTTTGGATTCTTGTAGTAGTAGTCTTTCGCGATATGACCAGACCGTTGGCAAATGTAACAAATTCTTGGATTATAGTTTGTATTTCTCCTTGATACAAACACTTCAGCGTTGGTTTTATTAGATCGTTTCCCGTTCGTTGAACTGTGTGCAGACTCTTCCTCACGGAGTATTTTGAGTACTTCATCATTTGTTTTTTCATGCTGAGTTTTTACAATTTCCCTAATTCGAGAGAATTTTCCATTAAGTCCACGGACTGTGTAAAACACCAATTCCCTAGGAAATACTTCTAGTCCTAGCGATTGGCACTTAGTTGCTATTCGCCTCGCTCTTGCGATATATAATCATTTGCCGACTCATGCAACTTCATTTCTAAATTTTTTAATTCATTATCGGCATCTATTTTTCGATCTTTGGCTTGTCCCGTAAATGTAGATTTTATTTTCTCCCAAAGAATTTTTGTATTCTCTTCTGTGGAGAACTGAAGTGCCTGTTGATCCGACAGTGAAAGTTTTATATACGCTACGGCGTCAGCGTTTTTTTCATTCCACAATCTTTCATCTTTCTTATCTAAGTTTTCTGGTTTTATAGTCGAAATTACTGAGTCAAGTCTTTTCAATAATAAGGCAGCTTTAATTTTCAATGCCCAGATAAAATAGTTCTCACCAGTTAATTCGGGAATGTTCTACTTCTCCATTTCTGGCTTTCACAGAGACAATTTTAATTTCAATTCAGTATTTTACATTCCATTTTTCTTGATATATTTGTTGTTCAAAGGCTCATATTCAGAGTAAAAAATCTGATGTGTACACCACATGACTTCCTTGTACGTAATGTTAAATTATACGCATTTTTTCTTGCATTTTATTTAAACTTATTAGATTGAATTAAATCTACTTCGCCGACAGCGCATAAACCACAATAGAATAA